TGTTGCACTCATGCTCTGGTTCAGCCTCTCATTGCTCAAACTTAACAATATTGTTGGCTATTTACACATTTATTTTGATGAAAAAAACTTTTACAATATTTTTAGAATCTGCTACCAGATTAACTGGGATCACTATAAGCAGTGAAGTTTGTTAAATAGAGTCATTGATTATTTTTTAAAAAATGCATAAAGGTTGCAGGATTAATACAAAGAGTTCTTTGTATTATTTCAAAATTAAATAATAGTAGAAAAGTTCTCTTCTCCTTTCATAAAATGATTAAGATGGTCTAAAACACTTAGTAACTATCACAAGGAGAAGTATTAACAGTAATTTGCGTATTCTTGAAATTTATCACATGTAATCTAGAAAGATATGTACCAGACTCACCTCACTGTGCTTGTGTTCTCCATACTTCCCATTGAGATTAGCCAGGTGGCAGTTCTTATACCACCAGCCACCATGGTGAGTTATAGCACAGTTGGTAATAGCTATATCATTGTCCCTGTCTAGGGTTGTAAATTTCCTACCATTATGGTAAGTCAGGGCATCCCCTTAGGAGAGAAAGGGAGCATTAGAATCATGATATTTCTGACATTAGAAATCCTCTGATCACTGACATGAATCGGCAGAAATGTAATTAAATACCTTTCAATGCCTCTACACACAGACACAGAAACATGCAAGCAATTACAGATATAAAATCTTGCCAGAGCATAATTTAATATGAGTTAATCCTGGGTTTCTCAGTGCATTACCTATAAGCACAAATGTTCAGCAGTCACCTCTCTTGCTGCCCCCAGGCACCAATCAAGATTTTTTTTTCTAATTTGTCTTATTAAGAATAATTAACCAAGAAGCTGTCATGCTGCAAAGCAAAGTACCGGCATCTTTATGCAGAATACCTATAAATACGCATATGTTCCTTAGGCTAAATAGTGTAAAGCAATGAACCAGGTTGGCATCTTTATACAGAATATCTATAAATACACATACACATCTTAAGTTGAATGGTGCTGACAGGGAATGGCTTAGCCTTAAAATGTATCTCAGGACCAAGTTTTTTTCCTCCACCAGATATCATCAAGCTGACAACATGAAAGTTTTCCCCAGTTTTAAAATTACTGGAAAATGACTAACTGCAACCCTTTATTGAGGCAATAAAAAACCAATGTGCCTTCAGCAGAATTTCTCAGCTTCAGAAATTGGCTTTTCCTCATCTGATTCCTTTTTTCCTTTCCTGATTCCTGAGAAATTGACAGCTGGATAAAATTTCAAAGGATGTTCTTATTTATTTTTTTGTACATTATCTGCTTTGAACCAGAGAAGGAAATGGACAAGAGTGGGGAGATAGAAGGAGCCAAAAAGGGTGTAAGCATGTTTGTGAGCAAAGAAATGTAAATATATTTCTTGACCTTGGCTAAAGTATTTCTCAGTGAAAATATTATGGTTTCAAATACATTAATTTGCTTATTGTTGTTCAAACTCTGGAATTGTTTTTGCTTGTCAGGAAGACAAAAGGAAGTATAGATATTTTCCAGATAAGTCAATGTTTTTGATTGACTATAATGTTTCTTAATTATATTAAATGGAACAGGAGATGCCATCATACTGTGTAAGCAGCATGCAAGGGCATGCTGCTAAGTGGTGAATGTTTGTTGTATATATTTTTAATTTTAATTTTATGCCTAGGCTTTCTTATTAGTGCACATATAATCTCCTTACAGAAGCTACTTGCTAAAACATCCCTGACACACAACATTTCCAAAGCGTCCTTGAATATAATAAGTTCAGGAAGTCCTGAAAAATTGGTTGCTGCTCAGACAGATGTGAGATTTTGCTTTTTCACTCTCCATTCTCATTTCTCCCTCTAATATTTCACACACACCCTGATTTGGTTTTTTTTAATATTTTATTTTTTTATTTGAAATTTAATAAAGTTTTATTTAAAAAATAAAATAAAAGAAATGTTTACCTGCAGTGCCTCTGTAGTTTCCCAAAGACAGCTTGTATCGATCTCTGCTGGAGCCCACCTGGAAGAAGTCATAGGTAGCATAGGCTGACTCGTTGTGAGTCTGTAAATCCACCCTCAGTTCATAGGGAAGGTGGGCAGACTTGGTGAGATTATGCAGTTTTTCTAGACCTGCAAGAAACATTCCAGAGTCAGATTTAAGGTAGGCTGCCAAACAAACTTGTCAGACCTGTCCCAGCTTGGGTGTTCAGGAAAGAAAGATCCTTGCTTCTATCTATAGTGAAAGGTATACTGATGCCAAGTGGTTACAGCATAGCAAAGCCAGATCTGAGGATTTCCCGCTTAGTTCTGGTATTTTTTTTTTCTCCCAAGCCCTCCCCACCTTGATCATCTTGGAGGTGTCCAATAAGGTTCAGATTAGGTGTTTCAGTAACAGCTCCGTATTTTGACACCTCTTTGGCTGGGCATTCCCCATTCCATTCCCAAGCTTGTGTCTTGGGAATCTTTGAATCTCTCAAGCTCTGTTCTGGGCTGGCACCTCTGGTTCCTCTCATCCCCCCTCCCGATATCCCCCTACTCCTCCCTCTCCCTTTTATGGCAGGATGCCATCAAAGCAAAACAGGATGATGCAATGGCAAACCTGACAAAACTATTATATTCAAGGCATTTTTAAGTAAAGTAAGAATTCTTCCATAAAAATTGAGCTATTTGTATACAATAAACAAATATTATACAATCATTTAACTGCATGTCACTTTATATCAGTTCATTAATAGAAATACTTCAATTTCCCTTTCTAAGAATGTGTGTGTGTGTGTGTGTGTGTGTGTGTGTGAGGGGAGGGAGAGAGAGAAGATACTCTTCCAAGAAGATAATAAAACTGGTTTATAATTTATATATCCATTTATATGCTCTCTAACAAAGTTTATGATGGAACTACAGATAACATTTAGTGTAGGAAACTTTAAAAACTATAAGCTGAACATTAAAGCAACGTCAGGCTAAGCCCAGATATGACGCAGCATAATCCTAATCAAGTTCAGTCCTTATTCCCAACAGACAGAGTCTTGCCAAACTAAAGCTATAACCACCTGAAAATATCAAAGGACCGACCCATGGTCCATTTAAATGTATAATCAACAATCTATAATTGACAGCCATTTCTATTTACTATCCTAGAAATTTACCTCTGCTGTTAGATCTTGTATTATCATGTTATTTGTGCTATTGTATTTTTATTATTAGTTGAATAATAAAAATACATCAATATAAATAGCTTTTCTGCCTGGAAAAGCAATTACTTAAACAATGGGGTATAAATTTAGGAATAAAAAGTTCAATGAAGTATGAAGAGTACGTAATAAATGATTGCCTGTAATATCTGGTAGAAGAGATAGGAAAATGGTTTTAGTAAAGAATTGTGGAAAGAAAGAAGGAAAAAAATGTATCTTGAGCCTGTGTCAAACACCCACTATGGACACCCCAACCTGGAAACGCCCACCATGGACATGCCCACACTCCCCCCCCACACACACACACATGGCCCTCTGGGATCACACACAACCCTGATGCGGCTCTCAATGAAATTGGGTTTGACACCTCTGTTCTAAGGTGTGGCTATCCCGAACCTTTTCCCTCTGCATTCAAGCTGCATTGCCGAAATTCTCCCTCACTGCTCCTGCAGGTGCACATTCCATCACAATCCAACTATCACCATCTATTCCCATTTAGCTAATGATTTTCAACAAAGTTATGACTCTCTATAGCAGGGCTGTCGAACTCCCAGCCTGCTGGATGCGTCATGTGCTGGCTACGCCCATGCCCAGTTTAGCAAAGGGGGGAAAGTCCTGATACATCACATGACAACGCCGTGACAATGTGAGTTTGACACCCCTGCTCTATAGCATTGCAAAGCATGACCTATGGTGCTGAGTCCTTACATACTGTACAGCCAGATAGTACTAAATGCAATGTTTTTTTTTAAGTAAAACTCTTAGAATCTGAGCCTACTTTAGCACACTATAGTTATTCTTCCCAACCTTTTCATTATGATTGACTTATAATCAGAATCAAGCTCGGAATTTAGTTCATAAGTCTTTGTAGTTGTTAAGTTGGTCACTACATAATCTGATTTGATTTTTCAACTGGTTTTACAAGAGTTGTTTAGTGAATACATGGCTGGTAAGTGAACCTCATAGTTGTTAAGCAAATCCAGTATATTCAATGAGTGCTTTTTGCTGTTTTCTGTCAAAGGATGGCATAACAAGTCATGAATCATGGTCATATGATCACAGAATGCTGGAACTGGTTGTAAATTTGAGCTGGTTGAAATGTGCCTAAAATGCCATCAATTTCAAAGGGCATAGGTCGTAATCTTTTTTTGAGACCATCATAACTTTAAATGTATGTTAAGCAACTGGTTGTTAGGTGAAGATTTTCTATAGTATTGAGACTCTAAGAACTCGGGGCATGAAAGGAGTAGTGTGGAGATTCGATACCCATCATCAGAAAAGTATAATCCTTAAATTAGAATTTCTGCATTAATAGTGGTTCTTCTAAAAGCCTATACATCCATCTTGAATTATGTTAAAAAAGCAACAGTACCGAACCAAAATTCTCCAGAAGTACTTCCAAAGCCTTCAACATAATTCTTCCATCTCTTAGAGAAATCCAGCTGCCCTGTGGACCTCCGCTGAATCATCTATAAAAGCAGGCAGAAGCATATAAAAATTGGTTCATTGAATGTTAATTCTACATATAGTATCAAACAGAGAAGGAAAATTGAAGGTATGTCTTTTCATAATCTAGCAGATATAAATAGACTAGAAGAAGTTACACAATATTACACATGAAATTCTCCTTGAATTTGAGAAATCCAGATGATACTATTTCATTTATGGGGCAATCATAATATCAAGTAAGCTATCCGTTTTTATTTTTCCTTTGATATCCAATTCTTTAAACATTTAAGTTACAGTTTTAAGTAATATCTTCAGCCTACTTTTTCATTTCCATGTTTCATGACTATAAAAGCACACACATACAGTACACCAACTCACAACTAACAAGGTATTTTCATGTGGTCTCATTAAGATTATTTGTTTATGTAGAGAACCAATTAATATGCTCTTGTGTGTACCAAAAGTTTTTAAAAATGAGAAAAAAGAGAGCTGCGCCCGTTTAAAAATTCAAAGTATGTCTGTGTTTATAATACACCCCCACACACACACACACACATATAATCACAGATTCCATATTAAACTATGAATCAGGAAGAACATGAGTTAAGACAGAAGGTCAGCAATGGAGGTTCATGACGAATAATGGACTGTCTGTAATTAAAATTAAAGTCTTCACAGGTTTCCAGATTAGTTGGTTGCAATATCAGCACTGTGATAACCATGCAGGAAAAATGTCAAAGAGTTCAGGTGGGCCTGATTTAGTGACTGCCTCAGAGAGCAACCATTCACAATTATGACAGTGATGAAGAAATAACTTTGCACCCAATCCTTGTGTTTATGATTTTGCAGGTCTGTACAGCAAAGCGAAGCTGAAGTAAGATCATAAGCACAAGTGGAGTTTCACTTAACAGCCAAGTTGCTGATCCCAATTGTGGTTGCTAAACAAAGACTACCTATACTGGGAGTAGCTAAAATTAATAATATTTTGAAAGTAATGAAAACAACACTCACTATCCATCCCCCTCCATCAGTGGTCATGTCGCAATATACTTCAAGGGGTTTGTTGCTGTCACCATTCAGGTAGATGGTATATTGGCCGCTGATAGAATTACCATTTTGCTGGGTTTGGCTGCAGTCCGCAGGGTAGGGATAATGCAAACTGACTTCAGGAGCAAAGCAAATAAGAGCTGACATTATTAAATTCAAAGATGAGATAGAAATACAGAAAAGTCTTTGAACAACCTAGTGGCAAACGAATGCTGAGGCGAAACTATCTAAGCCACTAAGACATTTGGATAAATTTCATTAACAGCAGAGAAAAAGAAAATAAACACTAAGATAGCAGGGCATGAATCTGCGCAAATGCAAGTCTAAACTGCTAAACAATGATAAGACTGCTTGAGAGCTGTTATTTGGTCATTGAGAGTTGTATGTGCTTTTCTACTTATAAGTGTGCTATTTTTTAAAAATGTATCCTCTTTTAACTGTAAGTTTCCTTTTGATTCTCCAAACAGGGAAAGACACTTGGCTAAATTTCGAATAACAAAACTGTCATTTATTCAGTCTTATAGTCTTATCCCATTTCATTCCACTCTACTTCACTCCACTCCATTCAATTCCATTCCATTCTGAATTGGTGAACTGAACTGGACTCTTCTCCCATTATATTTTCCTATATTTAGTGGCACAAATAGTGGCATTTAGTGGCAATATGGTCTTTGGATCTTGTTAGGAATGATAGTCGCCTAACAGTTGGGTTGGCAATATATAAACCAGGTTAGTCATTTAATACTGTTGTATCTTTAAGAGAGTGTTGTAATTGTGATTGGCTGAGGTTCCTCCAACGGCCATAAGATGGAGCCAGAAACCTGATTTGTTCCTTTTTGCATTTCCTTTTGCCTTTTGCCTGATCCTCATTCTGCTTGAATTGCTGTGAGTCTTGCAACTGTTCACAAACTCTGTTTACTGAACTTTGTTTATGATACTGGTAAAGAAAAGGACTTCATTTTTGGATTATCCCTGGACTATTTGTTCTGAATACTAACTGCTTTAACCATGTATGATTTGGACTGTTTGTTGGACTTTGTTTACCCGTTTACTGGAAGTAAAACTTACATTTTACTATTCAGTGTATCTGTGTGCTGGTTGTGTGTTATTCAACACCACTCTCACTATGTTTCCCTGAGTGCACTCATTCTCCTAATGGGGAATACCTCAACACATGTCATGTGTTTCTCATGTGTTTATACTTTCAAAGTATAAATATTATTAGGAATGTAAGTCACCTAATAGTTGGGTTGGAAAATATATAAACCAGAATAGACATTTTAATACTGTCGCTTTAAGGGAATGCTAAAAGTGTAATTGGTGTGGTTCATCAAACAGCCATAAGATGGAGCCAGAAACCTGGGTTGTTTAGTTCCTGTTCTGGTGTTTCTGGAGTGTGTGTTTGAGTCTTAGTGAGTCTCTGTTTCCTTCTGTTGGAGAGTATTGCCGTTCCTCCTAATGACTGTTACTGATCGTTGATGTAAGTCTGTTACTGAACTGTTTTTTGATACTGGACTTTGTTATTTGGGTTATCCCTGAACGGAACACTGACTGCCTTACCTGTGAATGACTTGGACTGCTTGTTTGGACTGTGCTTAAACATTTATTGGAAGTAAAAACCTACATTTACTGTACAGTGTATCTGTGTGCTGTGTGTGTGTTATTCTTCCCTACTCTCACTACGTCTCCCTGCATGCACTCAATCTCCTAATGGGGAATTACCTCAACAAATATGAAGAAATTAAAATACTTTTTTCTGACCATTAACCATTTACTATATGCTCTTTATTTAATCTATTAAATATATATATATATATATATATATGTGTGTGTGTGTGTGTGTGTGTGTGTGTGTGTGTGTGTTTTCTGAGGTTGGGGGGGTTGGCTGTGTTCTGATTGGCTGGGGGTGTGTTCTGTTCAGGTGGGGGCTTGGTTGTGCTCAGGTTAGTCTTAGTTGCTGGGGGATTTGAGCTGGTGAGCTATGATTCTGCTGCATTTGTGGTCGTGCCGCATCTTCATGGTGGGCGTCAGTTCGCTTCATGTATGGGTCGGAGGGGTTTGAAGCGGGTAGTGATGCAGCCGCGATGCGGCTTCTGGTCCATGGTCACATCTCATCTTCTGTGTGGGTGTGATTCTGCTTTCTACGTGGAAGTGTGGTGGTAGCATCTTGTGTGGCCCTCGTGGGTGTGGGTCTGGTGTCATTCTTCATGTTAGGTACTTGTCTGTTCATGAGGGCGGGTTTCCAAATGGCTGGTAGGCGGGAGGTGTCATCTCGTTTATTCATGCTGTGTGGGCATTTTTCTATCTCTATGGCTTCTCTGATTATTCCGTTGTTGAAGTGTTCGGTTTTGGCGATAGTTCTGGTATTTTTAAAGTCAATCTCATGTCTGTGGTGATGAATGTCCTGAAGATGATGAATGAGAGTTCGTCGAAACGTCACCTAGATACTTCCAATTTTACGCGGGAGAAAACCCGAAAAACCAAAGATACACATACACACACACGCGCACACACACACACACACACACACAGATATATATATATATATGTATATGTATATGTATATGTATATGTATATATATATATATATATTTCACGATTATCTTGAATCATTATTTACCAATTTAGGGACAGTAGCCACACTTACATTTCATAAAATTAAAACTGAACAATAGGAATATGGCACTTGGAATTACTATCAAATCTATAGAAATCTCCAAATGCTGACATTTTTTAAACTATCAACCTTCATCCTATTTCTGAATAGCTACTGCTTTTCAAATTTGATGATTATTTCTTTTATCAATTTTGGACTTTTTCAGACTAGTTTATTAGATCAATAATATTCCCACATGAAAAACAGGAGTTCTAACTTACAAAATGAAAATGCAAACATTGCTTAGTTTATACTAAGCCCAAAAGTCTTTTTGTATTTGTTATGATGTAATGAAATGCTGGGGAATAAATATATAAGTATTATTTTTGTTATTGTGGTTTTCAGTTGCATATTTTCGTACTAACATTCCATTTCCAAACCATCTTTTACTATAAGTTCTTCCAGACAAAACTCATCCCAGTTCAATTTCATTCCAAGTTTGTTCTCCTTTTAAGGACAAGGTACATATATAGCACCAAAATATTACAGTACGAGAGTTCTCAAGGCTTACTTGTAGAAAAAGAGGCAGTCACTGTTCGACTCCTGCGGTCTCCCTTAAAAGCTGTAATGTATATGGTGTACTTAGTACCACGACTCAAGTTTTCTAGAACAAACTTTTGATCATTTGCTCCAAGTTGCACTTCCTGCCACAAAGAAGAAAGAGACTGATATTTCACTAACACTCCATTCCTATGTGCTGCTTTCCCTCAAAGCTCAGTGATGAATAGGAAATTACATGACTGGCTAACATCACTGAAGACAGCAGGTGACAAAAATGCATGCTGTACTTTAACTATGTGAAACATTAAAATGCAGACAGTATGTGAATAGAATAGGATGCATTGATATTCTCATTTACACAGGGGACTTTTTTTATTTCCTGAATCACGAATGCTCCTCAACCATTTTGCAAAGCCTATCAATCTTTAGGGTTTTAGCTCCCTGCTGCATTTTTGAATGCACAGTTTTTATCACCGTTGCTTGTCACATTTACTTTTATATTTTTAGGTGCCTTTTTGATAGTGTAATAAAACATTGTATGTCTGCAGCATAACATTGAACACTGAATATAAGGCAAAAACTTCTCCTCATGCTTCATGACAGTTTGACCTAGTGGCTAAGGCACCTAGAAAGCCAGAGATTGTGAGTTCTAGTCCTGTCTTAGTCATGAAAGACAGCCAGGCAATGTTGAGCCAATAGCTGTCTCTCAGCTCAACTCACTTCACAGGATTGTTGTTGTGGGAAAAATAGGAGAAGGAGGGGTGTTGGATATGTAGCACCACCTCCAAAAGTTCTGCTAGCATCCTGATTCCTCTACCCCACCCCTTTCTACAAGTACCCAGGCTCTTCCCGCTACACAGTCACTCCCCAGGTATATCAATGTCTATTGTTCTGGACATCAGTCTACTCTGATCTCTTGCCCAGGCACCTCCACTCGTCCAGCTCAGGTCACTTCCACTGTCCACTAGGGTGGCTGGTGCCCCTCTGATCACTGGCCTGCTCATTTGTCTGAGTCAGCTTGCCTCTGCCTTCTGGTGATTCACTGGCTTGCCCACTCATCTTGGTCAGTTCACCTGTCATATCTGGTGCCCCTTCTGGTCACTCACTCACCCACTTGTCTGGGTCCACTCGCCTCTGCAGTCTCATCTCCCCTTTCAGAATTCCAGCCAACTCTCTCACCAAAAGTCTTTCCACCAAAACGTGACAGAGCCTCCGTTTCTTCTTTCCCCGCCTCTTCCTCCCTCACTAGAAGCTTCAAGGCTATTTTAACTAAAAATGCTAATTCCTTAAATTCTAACCTTGTCTGAAATAAATGCTCCCCTCCCACCTCACCTTTCAGGATTCCAGCCAACTCTCTCACCAAAAGTCTTTTCACCAAAAACCTGACAGAAAGACGCCCCTCCTCTCCTTTTCCCAACTCTTCCTCCTTCAGCTGACGTTCCAGAGCTCCGGGCCTCCCTCTACTACAAATATGTTTGCCACCTTGAGTTACAGTATTTATAAAAATAATGAGGGCAGGATAGAAATAAATGAATGAATAAAATGACAGATAACCATGAAGGCATGGCAACAACCATTTTCAGCCTTTCTGTACCACACCTACACTTTTTTCTGTATCAGGGATATCAGCATCCTCCACAGATACAGCATGAATTTCTGCAGAGAGAGAGCCCGGCAGCATATGCATGTCTGTGGGATGGAATGTACACCTGCAGGAGCAATGGTGGCAGGGTTAGCAGAGTTTCCCCAGAGAGATGCCTGGATTAAGAGACTGCACAGTCCCAAGCTGGATGGGGAGTGGGGAACAGATTCAAGACAGCCACGCCCTTGAATCTCACAGGATATACCTAGGTTATTTAGTTTGGCAAGATTCTGTCCATTAAGTGTAAATAAGTAAAGGATTGAACTTGATTGGAGTTCACTATGTTGCCTCTGAGTTTGAACCTGACATCTATGCCTTCAAGTCAGTTTTTGACTCCTGGAGATTGACTGAATTAATACCTGCAGTTTTCCTGGCAAGATTTTCAGAAGTCACTTGCTTGCTTCCTAGGGCTGAGAGAAGGGAACTAGCCAATGCCTAATATGGAACAAGAACTTACAGTCTCCCTGTAGTTACATACCTTGTATGTAACATCCTCCTTGCAGATTTTTGCAGCTGACATAAAAATCCAGCTTGCTGCTCATTCTTGCATTAGTGCCCAGCACAGGAAGAAAAGTTGTGTTTTCCAATGTGCTGGGTCTTTTCATAATGCATCATTTGCTTATAATTGTAGCTTAGTTTCTATAAGCCATTACTTGGTTGCTATTGTAAGAATGCCAATGCCTGAATTCATTTTTCATCTTCTATATTATTTTCCTGCCCTATAATTTGTTTTTATTTTGAAGTAAATAGAATAGTTATTTGTTTTTATTTTGAAGTAATTAGAATAGTTCTAATTGTGAATAACTAGTGAAATAATCATATTGTGCAGAAATGAGTAAATTGACACTAGCAATTAGAGAGCAAGAAGATAAAGAATATTATAAAATTTGGTATTTATTTTATCAATGGTTAGATAAGAAAATAGAGAAGTAAATGATGTTATAAAAAGGAATAGTATAATATGTAAGATAATATGATGTACTGATATTATATAATTGAACATAATGAAATGAATTGAATGTTCCCAGATTTGTTAAAACTTAGATTCGCTCAATAAGAACTATGTAAATTTATAGTTGAGTCTAATAATGATACAATAATAATACAATATAATATAATATATATAGTTGACTTATGTAATATGAATATATGTTTGGAAGGGGAAGACTGTTGATATTGTGACATTGCACAAAAGAAATGTACCAACCAGCTGTATTTTGGAAGATGGTTTTATGTTTCTGTTTGTGTTAGTGTTTGTCTTTAAAACATAAAAAACTTTTACAAAAAAATTGAAATAATCATATTATTTTATCAAGTCTTAAGGCCACATGATGTGTTTTGTTTACTTAAACAAATTGTACCAGGTTAAGTTGCATATTCTTTTGGTTTTAGTATGAGCTGCCTAGAATTATAGAACAAGGTGCAAAATATATGTACAAAAGAAAACAAAAAAAGACATTAGAATCAGGCTTAATTTATGGCAAATCTAGATGTGTTGTTGTGACTGTTGTCTGAAATGATTTAAGCAAGTCTGCCATGTCCTAATAGCTGGGTTGACCAATTTCCCATATGGTGCATTTGTCAGGCTTACCTTACTAGTGCCAGCTGGATGTTGATAGGTGAGAAGATAGCCATTGATTTGAGCATCTGGGGGCACCCAAGTGACTACTCCGCTGGACTGCGTCACATCTGATACACGGATATTCTTTGGTGGATCAATATCTAGACAAACCAGTGACCAGCATGAAAACACTCAGAAAGCTATTATGAGAACTCAGAGAAATTATATGCATATTCTATGTTGCCTTTTTGCAAAGAGGAGGTGAACAAATTCCTCTTCGTTCTATGTATCTTCCTCTTTTCCCTGAACAGTTATATTGTTCTACAGTTACTCTTCCTTTTAAAATACTTATTTCAAACCTTTATTGCCAGAGCACAACATGTGTACAATGAGATTGACTGAGCCTCCCTTAGTGCACCCCCCAACACAATACAACTCACAGTGAAAACAAAAAATCCCTAACCCAATAAATCATATTAACAAACACACAGTCCTATTGCACCAAGGTGAACATGTTGCACATTGCACCGGCCCTGCAAGTCTATCGTGCTATGTAGTTGTGATGTTATTTCGCATTCAGGAGTCTGACAGCCCATAGATAAAAACTGTTCTTTGGCCTGTTTGTATGACTGGCTATGCTTCTATATCTCCTTCCCAATGGTAGGAGAGTAAAGAAGTGCTGACCAAGGTGTGAGTCATCCCTGAGGACTTTCCTCACTTTTCTAAGGCAGCGAGCCCTAGCGATTTCACCTAGTGTCACCAGGGGACAGCCCATGATGTTTTGTGCTGTGCTCACCACCCTCTGTAATGTCTTTCTATCTGCGGCTGTCAAGCCAGAATATCATAGCATGATGAGGATGCTTTCTATTGTGGACCTGTAAAAGGAGGTCATCAGTTGTTGTTCCACCTTGTTTTTGTGCAAGACCCTGAGGAAATAGAGTCTCTGTTGGGCCTTCCTGGCCACTTGGATCATGTTGTTTTTCCAGGTGAGATCTTCGCTGAGATAGACTTCCAGGAATTTAAAGGAGGAGACTCTCTCCACACAGCCCCCCTTCATTTTGGAGTCAGACAGGTTCCTCTCTCTTCTTCCAGAAATCTAGCACCATCTCCTTTGTCTTCAGTTGCAAGTTGTTTTCTGAGCACCATGTGGATAATTTCTGAATCTCCCCCCTGTATGCTGATTCGTCTTCACCTGTAATAAGGCTGAATACAGTGGTATCACATACGAACTTGATGATCACAGTGGATGGGTCGAAAGATACACAATCATGTGTATACAATGAGTACAGGTAGGGATTGAGCACACAGCCCTGAGGAGAGGCAGTACTAAGCTTCAGGGAGGTAGATATGAATGACGCAGCCCTCACTGTTTGTGGCCGGTCCATCAGAAAGTTTTTAATCCAGTCGCAGATGGAAGAGGGAAACTTCAAATCAGTCAGGTTTTCGATAAGGATGCTCAGCAGAATGGTATTGAAGGCCGAGCTATAGTCTATGAAAAGCATCTTGACATAGTTTCCGGGTTTCTCAAGATGGCTCGCTACAGAATGTAAGGCTGTAGCTGTGGTGTTGTCTGTCAACCTATTCCCCCTGTAGGCAAACTGATATTGGTCAAAATCCGGTGGAAGGCATGACCTAAGGTGTTGAACAGAGGTGATATTCAGATGGTTCAGACCAGTTCTGGCATACCAGTAGTGAAAATTTTGACTGATTCAGAGAACTGGCAAATATCACCTTTGGTTGGCCCCACCCACTCGCACCCACCATTACCTCTCATATATTTCTTTGTCTTTTAGCTCAGCTGCTTTGCATGGCAGAGTGGATTACTGCCCCTCATCTGAGCTTAAAAACACTCCAGGCAGCTCACCAGGTTGACAGAGCTCCATAATTGTACCATGCACGTGCACATGAAGCTCAGCTGATTCGCGCTATTGCTGCACCCCAGCTGAGCTTAAAAACACTTCAGGCAGCTATCCAGCCTTGACAGAGGTCAGTATTTGAGCCCTGCATGCACATAGAAGCATGCACGCACATAGAACTGGTAGGGAAAAATTTGGAAACCCACCACTGGTTTTGAAGCACTTCATCACTACAGACGTTAGTGCAACAGGTCTGCAGTCATTCAGGCAGTTAATTGCTGTTTTCTTCGGGACTGGAATAATAGTGGCTGCTTTCAAGCATGATGGAACACTGGCTGTTTGCAAGGAGATGTTGAAGATCCTTGTCTGGACCTCTGCTAATTGGTCGGCACAAGTCTTTACCACAATCCTCAGCACCCCATCTGGACCTGCAGCTTTACTGGGGTTCACGGCCTTCAATACCACTCTCACTTGATGTTCATTCACCGTGAGTGGCTTGGAATTAGAAGGCTGGCAGGCAGGGGTTACAGAAAGGTCAGGTGTTTTCACCTCATAGCATACAAAGAAAGTGTTCAGCTCCTCTACCAACGAGGCATCAGCATTAACCGTCTTCCTTGTGCTGCCCTTATAATTAGTTAGGTGCTGCAGTCCCTCCCACAGTTGCTTCGGGTTGTTGTCTGCTAGATGGTTCTCCACCTTTTGTTTGAATTTTTGTTTTGCCATCTTAATGCCTCTTCAAAGGTTTGCCCTGGCCTCTTTGTCAGTGTCCCTGCTTTAAAGGCAGAATCCCGGGCTCTCAGAAGCATCCGTACCTCGGCAGTCATCCAGGATTTACAATTCCTATTGATTCTGATGCACTTGTCCAGTTACATTGTCTGTGCATACCTTGATGTACTTTGTCACTGCTGCCTTGGTTTGTCTCAGAAGAAGCAAACTGGTATGGTGAAAAGATTGCCTTTTGGAGAGTACACATCCATGTAGTTTTCTGGACAACAAGGACTTTGTTACTGTCCATTTCCAGAATAGTTTTTCAGCTCTAAAATTTCCTAGCAACTCGTCTCACAAATCACTGTCTTAATTTGTCCCACATTGAAACTATACAGGCAGCACCATTCAAGGGCCTTCTTGCTGAGGCAGGATAAGGCTGAGTCATCTACACAATTTATATTGGCATCTTTTTCTGCCAATGTAGGGACTGGAAGGTAGCATATTAATACAGCTATTTGGATGTGTGCTAAGAAACAGAGAAGCTAGAGAAGAATCAATCCCAGAATCTGTAATTGAAGAGAAAATTTATGCACATACCAAGGTGGTACTGAGAGCTAGCAGTATTATCTGGGAAGCCAGCTATTTCTTTTTTTCTTTCATCCAAGATAGAAAGGTTTAGTATAGCGGTCGCCAAACTTTTGGACCTCAGGGACCACCCAACTCATAATTTTAGATCCCAAGGACCACCAACTAGTTCTGTGAGTGTGGCCTAATTTGTGGGTGTCACTTGGTGGTCATGTGACTGGCTGGGCATGGCTTGTATGTAAATATTATAAATATTTATATAAATATTGAATTTTTTATTTAAAAAGAGCAACTTTTACCCAAAATCAGGCAAAGCAGGCAGGCAGATTGAGTTGCTCACAGAATCATTTAGTGATCTATCTATCTGCCATCAGCTAGCTCAGTCTGTCACATAAAATTTGCTTGCCAGTCTGCACTGAATAACAGAACCTTCAGTCCTAAGGGAGGTTAGGCTGTGCTGAGCCGAAGATCTAAAGACTAGTTAGAAAGCAAGAAATCCAACTATTTCCTGCTTCCTAGCTAATCTAAATCCCACAGCTGACGGTTGGAAAAATAGCAATTTAGCAGGTAAGTTTGCTGGGTAAGGAGAGAGTGGGGAAGGGTTCCCGTGGGCCATGTGGGCGGTGCAGCCTTGTGTTTCTGCGCAGGCTGGATTAATTGCTTTGGGGGTGCTCTGGAGGTGAGATTTCTCTGCGGCCCACCAAAAATTTCTCACGGCCCACCAGTGGGCCACAGCCTACTAGTTGGTGACCACTGGTTTAGAGCATGGGTGTCAAACTTGCTGTGTCACATTGCCATCATGTTTTCCCCATTCATGGAACTGGGGTGGGTTTGACCTGCACATAATGAATCCGGCCAATGGGCTGCCAGTTTGACACCCCTGGTTTAGAGTACATATTAGGATACATATTCTATGTATACTGGCATGTCCCTTTTTATATTGAAGAATGACCAACCAGCTCTATCACCCTGTAAAATATTGTAGTCCTCAATTCTATGTATGTTATTTAAGAACTTCAGGAAATAGAGTGATATATAATTTACAGTAAGTTTGCACTATTAGGGGCTGAATCAAAGATCTCTTGAATAAATGTCTTTGGAGGGACATAAAGGAAAAGAGGCAATGATATATCAAAGGAAAAAGAGCACAGTTCTGTAAGAAACTTTCTAATGCCCCAAAATAGTGAAGCTGAAAGGCTGGAGATCTATGACACAAATCTACCAAGGAATCTTTTATTTCAATTCTACTACCATTGTCTACAAGCTTTCAAATAATACATTTCCGCTCCTATCCTTTCTTGAACATGTAGCAAAGATAGCAGAACCTAATTGGATATTTATGATTTCGCTCCCTATTTAATCCCAATAACAGGGAGAAAGGAATACTTATAGAATACAACAGAGGGTGCTGCAGGACTCCGTATATATGCTAGGTTTGTCCCTAGCATTTCCAAAGCAGCTCTGTTCATGCAACTGTAGCTGGAAAGTATATAGCACAATTTGTACTGGAATACATAAGGAAAATAGTATAGAACTCATCAGCTCTGGTATCAGTATGATTTACATCACTGTCATTTTCAAAGGTGCTTTTTCAAGAGGTAAGTGGACTTTCTGGTTTTTCTTTGAAGACATTTCACTTCTCTCTGAAGAAACTTCTTGGGTGAAAAGTGAAACATCTTTGGAAGAAGGCGGACCCTCCTCGCTGACGGACCATAGATCACGACTCTCTGCGACTATGGTCTGTGCTCTTTCATTGGAGAGTCCCGATTATTACGATTAGGGGCTGAAGCTGCCTTGGAGGGGTGGTGGAGTAAGGGAAGCCGCGAGCCAGGTTGAGGGGAGCCGCATCTCCCCCCCTGGGCTTGGTCTTTTTTACCCCGAAGACGACTGAAGCGGTGGTTTAAAATGGCCACCCCAAAGAGGAGGACTCAGCTGGATTAAGATTTGTGCAGGAGGGAAGAAAGAGGTGGATAACATCTGAACGGGGACAACTGGGCTATACAACTAAACAAAAGTACCCCGGGATTAAGGTAACATGGAATTTTTAAGAAAAGAAAAGTGAGCGGTGAAATTACAAAGGGACAGGGGGAAAAAAAGAAAATATTTTTAACAGCTAAGCAGAGCTTCAAACCGGGAAAGGAAGAAGCTGGAACTAAAGATTTAACTAAATTGGACTAAAATATTTTGGGAATAAACAGGCATAAAATAAAGCTGGACTTAAGATTGTCAAAAAAATAATAATAATAAAGTTTACAAATTGGAGACTGGACTGTGCTGGAATATTGAGGTTCAAAAAACCCTAAATAAAAAAATAGGGGGGAAAGGTGAAGACTTTGTATAATGGAGAGTGCCATGACAAAAACTTGAGCTCAAACAAAAGGGAAAGCATCCTGTTTCTGAATGAACTTGTGTGGATATAACATTAAAGAAATGTTGAAACAAAGTAAGAATCTTAGAAAATGAAAGCAGAACCAGAATAAAGGAAAAAGCAAGGAAAGACTGACTGTGGGATTGATTGATGTTTTTGGTATAGACCCTCAGCTGGAATAACTGAGAACTTTAGAAAATTGAAAGAAGAAAGAAGGAAAATAAAAGTGTTTTTTTGTGTGTGTGTGGACTTTAATGATCATAAAATACAAGAGTGTGTAATGATGATATCTCTTCGGGAATTGAAACTGGAACTTAAAAATATGAGAGAATTATTACAGGAAAGAGGCAAATCTGCTCTGTGTTAGAAAAAATGGAAATGGCAATTGAAGAACAAGAAGAAAGAGCTTCAGAGGAGGAGGAGTTGATTCAAGGAGAAGACATTTTAAGTAGACAATTAACACAAAGAACACTACAAAGAAGTGGGGAAAGAAGGAAGGTTAAAAAGTTGAAATTTAAGAAGGCAATCAAAAGGGGAAATACCTGTGAAGTCAGGAAAGGCAGAAAGACCCAGCAGAAAAGGGGAAAGGAAGATATTAAGAAAGCGAGGGATATAAACTGGAATGAGAAAAGATATGGGGAAAAGAGGAAGAGGAGAAGCAGTAAGAAACAGGTGCATGAAATAAAGAAATACGGAAATAGTAAAATGTTGAAAAGAAATTGTTTTTCAGAGATAATGGTTGATGAATTGAAAAGGGGATTCTGCAGGGTGACAAGGGGTAATAAGAATATTTCTGCAATTAAAAATATTTAGAAAATAGGGTAGTATAGATACTGATAACTCTTATTAAAAATCAAGCGGGAAAATATACTGTGGAATCCAATTACAATTATTACAATTATTATTGTAACTTCTTAAAAATAATGGTTTATTGGGAATCAAGATGAGGAAATAAAGATATATTTTAATCATTGAGGTGTCACACTCAAAACAGTAAAAGGGGGGAAACCTATACTTATTTTTTTTTAGTGTTAAAATTTGTATTAATCTAGAATTTATTAAAAGAATGTGTAATGGAAAGGGAATATGACAGACTAAAGAACCAACTAAATTAATAAGTTAATATAGACTATTAAAAGCAAGGAGAGACATTGGTAACTATTATTATTATTATTAGGCAAACACATATTGTTTATCTTTATTTTTAAAATAAATATTAAAGGATTATATTTGAAATAATGGAAATGAAACAAAAAGATATTTCAATTGAGAGTAATGAAAGAGGCTAGAATTAATGTGTTTGTTTCTCTCCTTACTGAAAATTTGGAATGGAAAACGTAATAATAGAATTAAATATGTATATATCAATGTATAATTGCTGTCATATTTGTATGTAAAGTTGATGACCCGGAAATATGTTGTCCACTAAAAAGAGATTTTTGTTTTTAATGTGAAAAACTGAATAAAATTTGTTACAAAAAAAGAAAGAAAAGTGAAACATCTTCAAAGAAAATCCAGAAAGAATCCACTTGCCTCTTAAAAAAGCACCTTTGGGATAATCATTGCCTGGATGACTAAGAATCTCCATAGACATTCAAAGGACACCATTTCATTCAGCTTGTTATTCAGATCCCCTGCAGAATATTTTTATAGGTGAAGAAATGCAGTAATCCACTCCCACCATTCTATTCAAGTTACCTGTCATAGTTTTTGTGCTTGACCTCTTGCTCTGCTGGCTTCCCTTCACTGCCCAGATGTGGAGAACATATTCCATGCCTGGTTTCAGGTTTGTCAAGGTAGTCTTGATGTTATCCTTCCCAATGGGTACCTCTCTGGTTTCTCCATCAGCAGATGTATAGCTGAGGATGTTTTGTTCCACCGGTGCCCAGGCCTTGTTCCAAGACACAGTGGCTGAGTTCTCGGTCACTTGGTCTGTTTTCAAATTGGTGGGGCCATCTATTTCTGTGAACCAAGGTACAATTTATTGCATTTTTTTCCTCAGTAACATTGGATTGTATATTCTTTTTTATCATTTTCTTAAAATGATCCGTCAATCTTTACTGAAGAGACCATATGGCCATGCGTAAACTTGAGCATAACTTTTAAAAACTAAATATCAGCATTATACACTATCCTTGTTTCTTCGTGTCTGACAATTTAAATTAATAGATTACTAAAAAGGAAGCAAAAATCTGGAGAAATAGTTTATTTATTGTTTCTGAATAGTTTTGTCAGAACTGTCGTCATATTCAGCTTCAACAAAGACAGGAAGTATCAGAAGCATTATACATATAATTCTGCCATCTTGTCCTTAACATGCCTGATATAACAATTACTGAAAAGAGGAAAGTATGGTTCATTGATGTTGCTAAATCACACAGTGCTAGGATTGAAGAAAAACAATTGGAAAAAGATTCAAAATACAATACTATATTGGGACTTGCAGATTGAAATAATGCTTGTGGAAAAAGAAATCTATTATTGTACCAATAAGGATTAGTGCCCTTGGATTGATACCTTAAGAACTTCTTCTATATCAGGAAATATATTGAATTTATCAGACCTGAACACTCTAATTTACAAAAAGCCTCCTTGCTTGTCAATGCCCAAATTCTTAAATGTCAGTTTAATAATTCTTAGTCCCAATTTAGGGCTTGAATTAAGTTTTCACCACTGTTATGCTATGAATCTGTAGATTACCCATACATAATATACAGACATGCATACATGCAGATATATAACAACGTATGATTGCCATATTTAACCAATTACTATATTATTAAAAGATTTGTTATTTGCTTATCTGGTTTCTTTATAGTTCATTCTGTCCAGAATTTGACAATCAGTACTTGCTTGACATCGTTCAGGTTCTACATTCACAAACTGAATATGATTTGTTTTGACAAAACTAAGGAAAAGAACATACATGGTTTCTTCAGCAGACTGTAAATCTTCCATCTGCTGCCAGAGTTCTAATACTCCTTCACATATAATTTGTACAGTTTGGCATGTTAAAAAGAACTGCACTGTGTAGAACTAAAACATGGGAACTCGTGAAGATTTCACAACTTCATATCTATGAAATACCTGTTTCTGCTTCAGTGCTTGCTCTTTTGCTCTGCTGAGCTCCCTTCACAGCCCAGATGTGGATAATGTATTCCATGCCAGGCTTCAAGCCCACAAGAGTAGCGGTTCTCTTGTCCTTGTCAATGGGTATCTGTCTGGTATCACCACCCACTAAGTTGTAACTCACTACATAGCCATCAATGGGAGCCTGGGCTCCATTCCAAGAAATGGTGGCTGTGTTTTCTGTTACTCTGTCAGTTACTAAATGTGTTGGGCCATCAATATCTAGGAAGGAATTAGATATGATTAGACACAGTGATTCCAACAAGTTTTACCATTGTCCACCGTTTTTCAAGGCTAATTTAGAACATTTTGGTGCTTGGGGGTATACAATCCACATGGCACCCCTTCATCCTACCAGTTACAAAGGGCATAAGCCAAACTGAGAAGATTTTGTGCTGGCACAAAGAAACCTTCCCATGGGTGGTACTCACGTGGATCAATCTATTCTTTTAAGAGCAGTCAGAATTCACCCCTGTTTTTGTAATCTGCTGGTTTCTTTATCTAATACAGATTTAAATGCCAATTACAATATCTGTCCACAAGCTCTAGTCAGAGTTGCATCCATCATGTTTTGTTTTAGAAAATCTGTGTTGTCTTCTCAAGTACACTGACTGACATGTAGTGGTGGTGTACACCTCTTTCCCCCACTCAGATCTTTTCACTGAGAATCATCCCTGCCTCAAGGTCATCCCTTATTGTTTCATATCTTGTTTTTCCTCTTTTGCAGCAGCAAAGAATCTTTGCCTGAAGCTCAGATTTTTCCCTGGGAGTAGTGGGGTGGTAGTCATACTTCTGGAACTGAGATGTAGTTTTCTCTGCTTGCTCTTTCAAATATATACACCATTTATGGCCATGATTCCACATATCAGACAACCCATTCTTAATCTGAATTCTAGCAAAACTCCTCCTCCCATTTCTAGCATTCAAGTTGCTCCTTCATGAGTTCACTTGCTTAAAAATAGATGTTATTACACAGGGGACTATATTCAAGGTCTTCAGCTAGACATCTTGCTACAGCAAGACAGCTCTGGCACATTTAAAACCTCAAGCTAGTCTGATTCCTGGGAATCCTCAAAGAATCATTGTTTTGTATTCCCCATATTTCAATCATATTTGTTTCTGGCATATTTGCTCAAACACCCCCTTCCTCCTATGGTGCATTCTTTTCTTCATAAAAACTGTTTTCTTGTCAGCTGTACCGTTGATAACCTCAGTTCTTCCAAAGGATTGACAAACTCCACAAAACTAGAAGTGCTCTCTTTAAAAAGCCTTGTTGCTTAGGTCAGCATGGAAGAAATATGCATTTACTTGATAGCACCTTTGGTAAACTTCTTAAATCAAATGGGCTGCAATGTGGTAGAGTTTAGTGTCTATGGGCAGCTTAAGAACTGTAAGCACTTCAAGGTAATCCAGACTAGGAAACCAAAGTCATGTAGGCTAATATCACTGTTACTATAAAGATATAGTAACAGAATTTTGCATATCTGAATGTGCTATCCCGCCCTCTCTACAACTTGGCAAGAACTAGGAAAACATTTGTCTGAGACATTTTTTCATGTCACATTTCTTCCCTAGACACAGAGTATGTAACCATTGGCTTTGTAGCAGCTTTTCTTCATGTTCCTCAAGGTCATTCCTTCTGCAATTTACAAGAACAAGAGTGTAGCTGCTGTGTTTATTCCAAACTGCTCTTACCTGTAAATAATTGAAGGAGGGAAGAGAAGAAATTCTAGCTGAATGTGAACAAGTATTCTGCCTCTTTCCCTTGGGACCATCAATGTGGTTTACCATCACCAGCATCTAGTTTCATGAGTTCCCTCAAATTATAAATAATTACTCAGATTTCTGTATAATTTGGGGTCATTTTAGACAAGTTAATGTAGAGTCTGCTTTTCTGAGAGCAACTCTTTTGTGCGGGTAGAGTAACATTCAAATGACCTAACCATTGGCAGAGGTTTTGTCTGTGTGGTCTTTCCACAGAATTGGCCTGTAAATTGGTCTTGTAAAGGGCCAATTCCATGATCAGAGCCTGTGCTGAGCCCTTGCTCCTCAGGAGTTGGATCATATTTTCCTGTCTCGTATGTAAAACCATACTTGGGCAACTAGAGATCTTTCCCACCATGTTGTTAGCTTTATATATCTGTGTGTGTTGGTAGAAAGCAATACCAGCATAAAATTTGCCAATCCCTACCATGAGTCTATCAGAGGTGGTATTCAGCAGGTTCTGACCAGTTCTGGAGAACCGGTAGCGGAAATTTTGAGTAGTTTGGAGAACCAGCAAATGCCACCTCTGACTGTCCCCACCCCCATCTATTCTCTGCCTCCTGAGTCCCAGCTGATTGGCTGGGTCTCCTTTGGTTGCCCTGCACAGGAGAACGAAGCTGGAAAGGAGGTTAGTGGGGTGGGGAGGGAATGGGGATTTTGCAGTAACCTTCCCCTGCCACACTCACCAAGAACTGGTAGTAAAAAAAATTGAATCCCACCACTGGCATCTATCATGTCTTTACTGAATCCCTGTCAAATAGTATTATCCTAATTTGTGAGGGTGTCATAATAAAGGCAAGGTGATTGGCTTTTTCCTCTGACCTCTGGCTTTGTTGCCACCTCCACTCCTTCAGCAAATCATCAACCAGCAGATAAAGGATGTCAGTCTGAGCACTCTGATAACAATGATGGACTTTAGGATTTTATCTTCAAATGAGCTGCTTTGGAAGAGTAATTAAAACTAGCAAATATAGAGGAAGTAACAAATGAGCAGCAAAAGCTCAGTTTGACATCCCTCATTATTTTTGGCACACTGCAGTGAAGATCAGGAAGACTATTGTATCTACCTTTGCTCTCCTCTCTCCTACTTGTTCAAATCCTGGAGTGAAGTTGGTAACAGAAATAGACAGGAGTTGCTAATGTCCCATATAAAAGGCAGTCCAGAAACATAACTACTTGTGGAGAAACTAGATACTGAGCGGAGAATTGTGGCAGAGAACAAAAGTTCAGGACACGCCTTTATCTTCCAACTCTCCTCTAACACATATAAGGCCCAGCTTTCAAGATAATGGCTGACAAATCATTACAGAGCTTATCATCTTGAAGCTGTGGTGCAATGATTCCAATAATCTCTTTTTCATATAGTGATGCTGCTATATGTATGTGATGCTTTTCAGATTACCTTGCTGGTTTGCAGGAGTGTGTTGTGAGAGAACCTATTTCTTGTAAACAAAGGTCTGTGTTAGGAATAACATAGGTTACCTAACGTAGTTTGGGTAAAATAATATATATAAACTATGATAGTAAGTTTAAGTGTGTGTCACTTTAAACCGCAAAGCATGTAATTTTGGGTGCGGTGTTAAACCACCATAAGAGGGAGCAAGAGAACCTGCTCATTTGCTGACGATTCCTGACGATTGACTGGTTTGATGAATTGATGGTTTGTTAACTGCATGTTTCCCTACAGCTGAGTTGCTGTTGCTGAAGGAAGAAAGGAGGTGTGACTTCTTCATATCTCTACTGCAAGGAGATATATTACTGGACTGATATTTGTAAGTTTACTGACCTCTCTTTTTCGACACTGGAATTTGCATCTGAATAATCCCTGGATGGACTGAATTAGTGAATGATATATGGACTGTTTGACTATGCTATAACTCTTACTGGAATAAATTATTTAACTAGCACGGTGTATCTGTTTTACTGAGTGTAAGCTACAAAAACGTTTATCTCACATATTTTGCCTGCCTGCCTGACTGCCGTGCAGATTCTGCTAGGGTGTATCCCTAACAGTCTGGTTTTAGAGAACTCCTTCCTGGTCCTTACATAGTTGCAAATACCTTAAGAAAAACTTTGCATATGAAAACATCCCATTGGAAGCATAACTGTTTCTTTAAATGTATTGAAGACCGCATCATCGCCTTCCTCCAAAAAGCATTCTGATCACTGAGGCAAATGGCAGGAGTTAGTCCCTGTGCCTCCTTCTTACTTGGCCAATGGTGAGTTAAATGAAATTCTATGCTAACAAACAAAGGCAACCTCCTCTCTCTTGTTGATATTGGTATAGGTAAAGGTTAAGGTTTCCCATCTCCAGTCATGTCCAATTCTAGGGGACAGTGCTCATCTCTATTTCTTAGAGAGACAGTGTTGTCTGAAAATACTTCCATGGTCATGTAGCCAGCATGACTATATAATACAAAAATGCACAGAACGTTGTTACCTTTCCACTGAAGTGGTAACTATTTGTGTATTTACAGTTGCATGCTTTCAAACTGTTAAGTGGGCAAGAGCTGGGGAAAATAATGAGAGCTCACCCCATCACACAGCATTCAGTTCTTGAACCTGGCTGCCAACTGAGAAGCTCAGTGTCTTTAACTGCTGAGCCTTCACACTCCCTGGCCTATATACCACATGACCTTTAAGATGTTGCTTAGAAAAAAGTAAGGCTTTTCAGTCTTATGTAATTCTTAATACATTTATCTAGTGATAGCTACCGTAGGTAAAGCTTAATCTGCAATCAAGACAATACCATGAACCTTTTCTGATTGGGACCTGATGCTACTTAATTATTTGAGAACCTTTTAGCATTCTGCATGTTCTTAGAAGCACATCTTCTAATAAGACTTCTGCCAAATTCAAATCTCCAGTCAAAGGGACATTTTGTGATCAAGCCATTTTCAATGTATCAACCAACAATAACTAGCAAAGCTTCATTTACACCAATACTGTTATTTTTGAGGGTTATACAATTAGAAGCAAGACTGCCTTGCCAAAACCTGCAACTCCAGCAGTCTGCCCTCTGGTTGATGTTATGCTATGCGATTCATTCTTGGGCGATTCTGAAGCCAAACTTGTGGTCTTCTTTACTACAAAGCCAGGAGCTTGGTGGTAGCCATCCCACACAGAAGCAAAACATGAACCAACCAAAAGTTACAAATGTATAAACATCACTGAGTGCATAACATCCTGATGTTTTAATCTGAAATAGTCAAAGCAGTCTTAATCTCTGATACATTTTTAAATGGTTTCCAAAAGCTGGAAGGCCAAAAGGGTGGTATTCATGACAACCCCACTCCCAAGTTTTCAGACTAGTAACTGAAGACACAGCAATAGGGAGTTCGACCTGCTAACACAGATACATTTTCCTCTCCATGAATTGATTTTAATCATCAGCATAGAGCCTGCACTGAATATAACCCTACAATGGACTTTGGTATTGGCTTTCTGTGAGAAAATGTCAATATAGAATTCAGGGCCAATGAACTTTGAATGGGGAAGTTTGTCCCTAATATTTGTAACAGAAATTAAGGGGCAGATTGTCAGAAAGCTTACAATAGTCCAGTTATGAAGTGACTGGGTCATGAATGACCATGTAAAGGCTACACAGTTGAGGAAAGGGCACCATAAGATGAATCTGTGCAAAGACCTTTCTGATCATAGTTTCACTCTAATCTCAAATGATATTACCCCAAAGCCCTTACTATCTGAAAATTTTGGAATCTGGAAAATTAGAAACATTTATATAGGTTCTATTCAAGTGGCTAAAATCTCTCTGGATTCAACATATGGGGGAGCCATACACCCAACCTTTACATATTGAGATTAATTTTGAACAGACAGCACAGTTTTGAGCATACAGCACAGTTTGGCACTCAGACAACACATTGGTCTGCAGAGTCTTGACATGTTCCATACATTTGAAGACATGTTCCATACATGTCAAGACTCTGCAGACCAACCAAATAACTCACAGAGGTTGGGACCAGAGTTAACTGGGATAATCCTCTTCCTTCCTGGCATGCTTATTGTGTCAACTATAAATCCTCTTTAGTTTTGGGAGTGTGGCTCAAGGCTCATGATTTAATTGGAGTAACTGCCAGAATCCTGACCTATTGTTTCTTCCTGGACAATAGTTTTCAGTTTGGAAAGAAGGTTTGGCAGTCTCAAGTTGATCCAGCTGTATGGCCGATTGCTGCAACAGCTGTGAAGACCAATAGTGGTCTTGCTGTGATATTGTGTAAGGATGTCATTAAGCTACAGACAAAGCTTTCTGTTTATACCTGTCCAACCATGTACAGAAGATGGCTTCCCTTCAGCCTCATTCCTCACAGATGTGACAGTGATCTTATATTTGGTTCCTGGCTTCAAGCCTATGGAAAGAAGAAACAGAGGAGGGAAATGATAAAATGGTCTGAGACATAATTGTGCTTTTCTTTCCTTTTCTTTCAAGATTTAACACTTTCAAGATTTAAAACTAACAAGTTTTAAAATACATTTTTACTGTTCTTCAATAATATGTCCAGAGTAATACTCTGACATCATATTTGAGGAAGAATAAAATTTCACTTTGCACTTGAAACTATTACATCACTTTTCAATTGTTTCTGAGCTCAAGGAAGCTGTTGATGTAAAGCTTTAATGATTTGTTTCAGATCATATGAAAAAAAATGTTTTATTAAAGTCTTATGGCTGCAATCTGTAGTTTTCATTATAGGTCTTGTTGCATAACCCACTTTATAGATGCACAAGGCAGACCTTTATTGTAGTAATATCACAACTATTTCTGTTTCCATTCTAGTGAATTTTAAATTGTCTAAGACTATTTGCAGTCTAAGAAAGCACTGAAAGGCTGCAGTATTTTCTCAGATTCAGCTTCCTTTGAAGCAGGTCATAAAAGGCATCTGAAGACATATGAAGGACAGAAAATTGTGGGTTCTCTTTTCTCCCTTCAACCAGACATTACCAGCTAGCAAAAAAAAAAAAATCCATTGGTCACCCTCTAATCATAAGTTGCATCTGGAGAAGCACCTTTTGACAATTGATTAGTCCAGTAGTTTAATTGAAATGTTGTTGAGGGGTAGCCTAAATTTCAGCTGATAAATTTCATCTGGAGATAAGTTTAGTGCTACACAGAAATAGTATTAAACCTATGTTCAAAAACAGCTTGGGCAAAGAGATCAGGAATAGGGAGAGTTGTGCTTTTAGTAACAAAGACCAAAATGACTCTTTCTCCCCATTTTATCCTGCACCTTTTGCAATAATAAGTCAACTAAGTCCAACAATAATGTCATAATAATAATAATATTAACACAACAACAACAACACTGGAGAGACCAAAAGTCCTGCAAGAAAGACCAATGAAAAGCAGAAAAGGAGAATCAGAAGACAAAACAGTACATGGCCAGTACATTAAAAAAAATAGCAGGCAAAGCAGTTAGCAACAAGACCTGGCAATAGCTAAGGGCAGAAAAGTTGAAGAAAGAGACAGGGAGACTAATTGTGGCTGGACAAGACCAAGCCTTAAGAACAAATGCATACAAAGCCAGAATTGAGAAGTCAACAAAGGATAGAAATGCTGCCTCTGCAAAGAAGTTGAAGAAATAGTGCATCATTGAAAGTAGCTGCTGAAAGAAAATAGCACAGTCTGACTACAACAATGGTGCATTGGAGAATTTGCAAGAAATACTTGCAAGCAAGAACTGGTGGGACCATGAAAAAGAGAAAATGATAGAAAATGAAGAAGCTAAAGTGCTCTGCTGGGACTTTAGAATTCAAACAGACACATAACTTGCCAAACTTAACAATTGTTAATAAGAAAAACAAAAATGTCTAGTTAGTGGACAGGGCGGTACCTGGAGACAGCAGAATAAAAGAGAATGAATAGAGAAGATAATAAAACACAAATACCTACAAATAGAAATAGAACATCTGTAGCAAAAAAAAAAAAAAACCCCACCAAAGGGAGTACTAACAGTAATAGGGTGCAAACCCAATAGTTATAGTTTTCATAGTCATCTTATGTTTTTAAAATACATTAGCAATCATTAGGGAAGAAATTCTGCAGTTATCCTTTGGTTCGAAAAGAAAGTAAAAGAGAAAATAACATTTTCAAATTGGACAGGAAGGAGGAAACAGAGACTTTGAGTCTATAAGCATTTAGAAGCTGCTTCTTTGGAAGCCAATTATGTGTCAGGGCTTCTGGTTGTCTGCTGCAGCATTCATCTATGTTCTGTGTTCTGAGCTATATAAAACATTGAAAGCTTCTAATACAGGAGTAGGCAAACTTGGAGCACATCTTTTAGGGTCCACCTGCCTCCCTACCATGTGTAGACTTCAGCTCCTAGTATTCACCAGCCAACCATCTTAAAGTTGCCAAGGTGGAGAAACACTGGTCTAAAGCCCTTGATTGAGGTTTCTTTTCCAAAGAAGTTGACCTCTATCCCAGAAATGGAAAGCACATAACAAGAAAGTAAAATATAAATAGGTGAGAACCCTAACTCTGCAAACAGAAACTTTTCATTCCTGCAATTGCTCAGCCAAAGTTTTGGTACTAAATGAACAGATTAATTGCCCTTATTCTGGATAAGCACCCATTAATTACTTACCTGTGATGAGGTGTCTGCTCTTCACATCATTACTTTTGGGAACCACTACTTCCTTCTCCTCTCCAGACAAAGAACTGAACCTCAGTTTGTAGTAATCCACTTCTGCTGCCGGATTTTCCCATTCCACTTCCAATGAGTTCTCAGTCTCCTCCGTCACCCAGATAAGCCCAATGGCAGAAACGGCTAAAATGAACATTGACAAAGAGGACTCCAAGACTACAACAACCAAACCTTTCTGTGCAGAGTGTTGATTATAAGGACATTTTTAATATAGAAAATTATAGCTATGCTAAACAGAGGGGTGCAGATTTCCCAAAATCTCGTGTATTAGCCAACAACTAATACAAAATAAATTTTGGTATTAACCTACAGCTTCTGCTATTGGGATGGGACCTGAATGCCAGTCATTTTCTAAAAGTCCATAAGCACTTTGCATTGCTCTAACAACCAAAGCACACTTTTCCAAAAAAACAAGCTTACTCTCTGAATATATCTCTATAAATATAATTATGTTTATTTCCATTTTCCCACTTGGATCCTTTAAGAAATTGATACTATTGTACAAATAAATCTTTCTTCAGTATAAAAGAAACAAATGCAGTTTTAGGATAAACTTATTTTAGGATAAATTAGCGTCACGTCAGCATTTGAGTTAGTCCTCCTTCTTAGGAAGATCACAACATTATAGGTAATTGAGGACCAAATACCATCTTAAGGTAGCATCAGTTTATAGACAGACCAAAAAAATGCTGTATTACAGGCCAGAGCTTAAAATAAAATATAGAAACAAAAGGCAGTAATACAGTATAAATTAAAAATACACATTTATATAAGTTTTTTTAAAAATATGGTGCAATATGATAGTTATCCTAAAAGTAAATTTGGTATCAATAACAGCAATTAAATGATTGGATTATATTATGCCTCTTACCCATAATATTGGAAATTTTAATATTTAATTCTTAGAGGCATACGTAACGGAAGGGAATCAGGATGGTGACCACAATTACGTGATCAAAGCCTTGACCCCTTTTGATGTCCATTGCTCCTCACTCAATTGCCCCCTGGCTTAAGTCAGAGGGATACAACCAACTAGTGGCAAATAGTTAGACTGGAAGACCTCCAAGGTCCCTTCCAATTCTATTATTCTGTAAATTTAGCAAAGCCTACCTACCATCAAAGATAGTCTTTCATGCATGAACAGGAGGGGATGTCAAGCCTGAAGCTGTATCAATATCTTATTTTATGTATGCAAATACATCTCACTGAATACATCCTATTGAACTGATTAGGATTAATATTCATTAATCACATTTGCATATTATGATTGGAGGAAAGGGGTGGGGCTATGATGATGTGGACATGGACACCATCTTGATTTTTTTTAACCATCTTCCCTTTCAGACACACCTTTAATCTATAGGTAAAGTGGACAGAACTGCTTCACTGTGAGCATACAGTTTCCCCAAACCTTGTTCAGAACCATGAAGACACATTACATTCACACAAATGGACATACTGCGCATATTACCCCAACTCTTCACTATGACAAGTAGGTTTTAAAATAGTACAGTATTCACTAATATTAATGGTTTAATAAATCAGTATTCATAAACAATATTAATTATTTCAATGCCTATTTGCAGCGCAAGGGGGTGTTTCTTTGAGGATCCTGGAGTGAGAATTGTTCCTTTCTTCCTCAAAAGTACCCAGTGGGATTATATTTTATGAGACAGTAAAAAAGCCTGCATACAGTACATGACAAATTCACTTTTTAAAATACTGATTTGACTGAAAACATGAGTTTTGGGCAGTGGAAGTTTCATCCCTCCTTTTTCCTGAGATTCATTCCCCCATCCCAAAAAATATGCTTCCATACATACAACAGGTATCAAAACAATCCATGATCATCATTGGGGACTTTGTCCAAATGTTACTGGATGGAAGGATCTTCATGAGTTTTTGCCTAAACCCCAAGATAGGAGAAGGGACATTGGAAAACTAATTTAGGCCATAGATATTTACTCCTCGTGTAATTCTTGGCTGTGGCTGTGATCATGAAAATTCTGGAGAAATCTTGAGGGAACTGGATTCAGACAGAATATAAGCACCATCTGCTACAGTATTCAATTAGAGTTAATTCTTGTCTTCAAACAGTTATTTTTCAGAGGGAAACTGTCCCTGACATGGCATAGATGTACACATGATTCCCCTCCCCCACCTCTGAAAAAAAGGAGAGAAAATCATAGTGGGATGAAATGTGACTCCAGTCCGAGGGGCTGTATCCTCTGGCCTCACTTTGGCTACGGAGGTAACCAAGGAAAGAAACAAATGAAGAAGATAAATTAAATAAGCAGATAAAAATATTGCAAAGAGAGTTACAGCTACTTTCCTTTTTTTTGTAGAACACTAGAATCCAAGTTGGGCAAAATATTAGAAATAGCTACCATTCAGACCTTTGTTCATTCAAACATCCATAATTCATACAAGGGTACCATTTCCTTAAGAAACAATGTTTGCATTATTAGTTTTTCAAAGTCTTCTGTTGATGTGAAGACCCTGCAGGTTCAAAGAGAACGGAAAGAGAATGGCAGTGACCTACCTGTGCTACCTTGCAGGAGTTCTGGCTCACTGAAGACTCCCTTCTTTACATTGCGAAGTGTGATTACATATTCTGTGCCAGGAATTAGACCCCGAATCTCATAATTTGTCTGATCTTTGGGCACCTTTATTTGTTTCGTCAAGGCCTCTTTCCCCACAGGAAAGTAGCTGATGAGGTAGTAGTCCACTTCTGTTATCTTATCCCAGCCAATGGTTAGGGAATTTTCGGTGGTTTTAAGGAGATGGATATTCCATGGGGCAAGCACTATTGGGAAATAATGGGAAGATTTTAAAGTAATGCAGCCTGTGAGTCAAGCGAGGCAGATCATGTTTCATTTTGTCTGTATAATTTGCTTAGCAATATATAGGCCACAGCATCTCAATTTTTTATAATTAGTGGCACAAGTGTTGGCAATAAATATTTGCTAACATTGTTTTTCATGCATTAAGCAGCAAAGTGTCCAATTCCTTCAGACAATTCCTTCATCAGATGATGAAGTGCAGATCTGGCACCTAATAAAATCTACCCATTTTAGGTTGCATTAACTTAAGTTTGATCAAATGCAAGGAGCCCAGAGGTAACATACAGTAATTGGGGGGGGGAGGGGGGGAGGAAGAAATATTGTAGATTTCTGTTATCTTTCTTTAAGAATATAAGAACTGTTTCTCTTTTGCATTTTGTCTTTCTGTGACTATCAGAGTAAAGGCAACAAACACACTTTCATCAGAATGGCAGTTAAAATCCTTGACTGTTCAGTAAATATTGATATGCAGTATAAGAGTCTATTATGTTACTTCATTTATCATTATAACATTTTAAAAAGTAAGTCGATTAGAAATGTATCACCCTCACTGGAAGAGAAACTGGCACTCTTGAAGTACTCGGCTGTACTCCTTGAAATGAGGAATAATGTATGGCAATTTGTATTCAAAAATCCTATGGCAAATTAAGCAGAGCTCCCAATTCAGTGCAACAGAAATTGGAGAGTACTTTCTGGCAGATTATAGCCCTAGTAAATAATAGCAGCAATAATAAATATTCTGTTCAATATATAAGAGTTGCTTCAGGTCCCCTGAAAACAAATTTCAACAGTATACACAATGGGCCTTTCCAGTTATAGCACCAGGGGTGGGCTGCTGGGGGCTCACAGAGGAGACCCCCTAGCTAAGACACTGCGGGCCTCGAAGAGCCCCCAATAAGCCCAGAAAGACAAGCAGCAAGGGAGATCTCTTAATAGGCTTAATTGAACTTCTGGGTGTTCAGCCAAGAGCATTTCACACAAGCAATGAAAAGGAGGAAGATGTGGTTTAAATGTGATTCTCTCCCCCCCCCCCTCCTGTTCCAGACAGAGTGTGTTAAAAAAGCAATGAAAGAGTGGCCGTTCAATGAAATTTTCATTTGGAGGTCCATCAACATTGTGCGGGGACAGTCAGGAAAATGCTCTTACCTTTAGAGCAATCTAGTCCTGTGAAACCATCCTTGCAGTAGCACTCGCCACTGTCACAGTATCCATTGCCACTGCAATCATTAGGGCACCTCTTCTCACTGCAGTCATCTCCAGTGAACTCCCGATAACACTGGCATACCCCATGGACACAGACCCCGTTTCCACTACAGTTCTCAGGACACAGGAGGTGACTGCAGTCGTCACCAGCATAACGGGCATTGCAAACACACCGGCCATCAATGCAGCGCCCATTATCACTGCAATTTCCTGGGCACGTGGGTTGGGAACAGTCCTGCCCTTCCCAGCCTTCCTCGCAGATGCAGCTGCAGATCTCTTGGATGAAAGTGCCATGGCCGCTGCAGGATGACACCCCTGTTCAGCAAGAGGTCCAGAACATAGGAGAAAAAAATGGAAGACAAAGACACATGGGTGCCAAGATCTCAACTCCCTTGAGAAGAAGAATACTGACACCTTGCTTACATGCACGAGCTTCAATTTTAAGCAAAAAGCATCTTGAGCTAAATGCCATCTTTGTACCCTTAAGCCAACATCTGCAATATTGCTGCTTTGCTTTTAAGGATGATAATAATGACTGAATTTTTATTGGATACAGGGTAAATCTGCATAAGTAAATCCCATGAAACTGTTTAGAGAACTTTGTTAGGAATCTGTCCATCAATTAGTTGGGTTGGCAATATACTGCATAAACCAACAATGTATGTTTTGTAGCTTTAAGACAAAATCATTGTATTGATTTGTACTGCGTTCTGATTGGTTGATTGTATTGCAGATTGCCATGAGAGGGAGCTAGAGATCATGGCTTGTTCTCTCTGATATGCTGTATCTCTGACATTCTATCTCTCTGACATTCTGTTGCTATCTAAGGTTTATGCTGTGCTTATACTTTGATTTGATATATATTTGATATTCATATTTGATATTTGATATTTCAGCAAGAGTGGTCAATGTCTGGAATACTCAACCTGACTCTGTGGTTTCTTCCCCAAACCCTCAAAACTTTACCCTTAGACTGTCTACTATTGACCTCACCCCTTTCCTAAGAGGTCTGTAGGGGACATGCATAAGCGCACCAACGTGCCTACCGCCCCTGTCCTATTGTTTCTTTTATTTTTCTTATATGTACCCATTTCATGTATTCATAACTATGTATGTACTTATACCTATTATCTTGTAAGCGATTGACAAATCAAATAAAGAAATAAATAAATATTTTTGTTTACTAGAAATGAAAAAGGCAACCAGTAAGAAGACTTTGTAATTGGATATTCTTTGGACTGTAAAATGTATATGACCTGGACTGTTTACTGGACAGTTTATTTCTTAAAGTAAACTTTAACTCAATTCAGTGTATCTGTGTGTAACTGAATAATTATTCATAACTACTCTCATAAAGGTTTCCATGTGCGTATCCTTGTTACTCAAGGGTTATTCTCTACATATCATAACAAACTTCAATAGTCCAGCTAAATCTGGGTCCCCATCTATGAATGACAAGCAAGCGAGTGTTTGGTGGGTGATATAAGACAAGTCTCAGGCACATGATAGGGCACAATATACAGTGAGCAGGCTACAAAAACTAGCTTCCTCACCTTGCCCTCTTCCACAACACTTTTGAGGGTTACAAATCCCTTTCAGATGTGCCACTTCTAGTTCTACATTTTCCAGTCTTTCCAGCAAAGCTTTAACTTGTTCAAGGACTTCACAGTCTCTTTTAGGAGTTTGCAGACGAATGTTATGCCTAAATATAATGTTTTGCTCCTCGCCCTCCTCTGCTTTGCCATTAGTGAAGAACATGTGATTGTTGTCTTGGAGAGGCCCCGGGTCTGGTTCCACATTGAACTGAAAGGACTCGGGTACATTAATCTTGTACGAGTGACTAAAACTGATCTTCTGGCTTTGCTCAGAGCAGTTTTTGGGCTGAGCAGGCAGTTGTGTTAGGACCTCCAGGAAGGAGCAGTGCATCAGAATTCCCAGGAAAATAATCCACATGGCCATTGTGTTTCTGTAAATACAAGAATAAAAAGGCTCAACTGGGGAAACAAGAAGGAAAGATGAGATAAACAATATAAAAGCTATTTTCTAGATATTATAAAGAGTGCAAGAAAAATATTCCTGGCAATCTTAACTGGGAAATTAATCAAGAGCTGATCTAGACATAGAAGAGATTCACTGGGCATTGGTTATCTCTTCAGAATGCACTTTGGCAACCCTTTGCTTCTTGCATAATAAATTCATGCATAAATACATACCCATTCCTTTACACCATGTAATGTATGCTTCTCCATTGTTTGGAAAAATAGATTACTATGTGTAGGAAGTAGGTATGGGACGAAGTATTTTTTAATGCTTTCAAGGGAGCATTTAAATCATGTATGTGCCACTGAGCTTGAATGATAGTTTGGCTCAAAGTTCAAGTTTTTCTGTTTGCCAAAAGTATGAAAAGTGACACATAAATCACCAGAAGGTTCCTAAACTAATTAAAACCCCTCTGAGCAAAGCTTTCTAACTTGTAAGGCAAGATTTATGAAGTGAGGCTTTGTCAGGCAAAGTAGTTTTGTGTTTATGCAATGTTTTCTGCATGGATTGGAGGTACAATATACACATCAAGGATCAAGAAGTAAACCTGATGAAGCAAGCAGGCAACAAGTTAGAGAAAGGAACTCAGGAGGAAGAATGTATATATGTATGACTGAGGAGCAAGCAAATGAGGAAGAAGGAAGAATGGAGTGCCTAGCCCTAGACAAACAACTGTAGTTGCCTTGAAAAAGATAGATCAAGAGTAACAACATAAGGAAGCACGACCAAGGTGGTAGCTTTCCAAGAAGCTTAAGGCTTGTTTCCACCCTCCTCCCTAAGCTTCAAGAAAAAGTCAAAGGACAGGTGGTCCTTAGGTTACAACATCAATTGGGAGCAGAATTTTCATTGTCAAGTGATGCTATCATAAAGCACAATATCACATGACCATATCACTTAGCGATGGCAATCTTGCCAGTGCCGGTTGCTGTTATAACCCTGGGTTGATAAGTGGGAAGAGGTGGGAGTCCCAGGCAAGCAGGCCATGCTACAGACAAGGCCTGCAGAATGTGGATGTGCATAGGTACTCTGTGTGTGTGTGTGTGTGTGTGTGTGTGTGCGCGCGCGCGCACACTATGGGCAAGTGCTACAGAGTCTGGGAAGACATGAGAGTGGTAGGAACAATTTCTGACTTCCTCTTGGCTTCCCTGTTGATTTTGCTTGTGGGAAGCTCACAAGGAATATCAGAAATTGGGATCATACTGCAAGGTCATCACTGCTATCACTTGGACATTGGAGACGCTGGAGCAGCTGGAACTCTGAGAAACTTTAAACAGTTGCTGAAGGAGTGTTTGTAATCCAAGGACTATCTATAAGGTAAATGTTATGACTCCCCTTCAAAATTCAAACGAACAAAACAGAAAGCAGCCGTTTCACAATTAAATCAAACGGAAAGAAGTCTTACAAGATAACGGCTGGCAGAAACCACAGCATAAATCTTTACTCTGTCCGGCAAACCAGTCCTGGCAATAAATCCTCAGCCTCAGAGCTCCTTGCTGTAACGTCCTCACTCAAATAGTCACTTTGTTCCTGGCAAAATGTACCAGCCCAGCTGTGTCCTTTTATACTCATTGAAGCAACATGCTAATTTACTGACTCGCTCTCCTCATTCGCTCCAGCTGATTTTGCCTTTTCAACCGTCTTCTATTTTTTACATTTAACCACAAATTTTCCAAGTTCTCATCTCCACTAGAAGACTCTCTCAAAACTTCCCTGTCAGCCATTCCTGGCTGTTGATCAGATAAGGAACCAGAGGAGGTCAAAGGTCCTGACAATTCTAATACTTCAGGTCTGTCGTCCTTTGTCACGTCCATCTCCTCATCCTGGTTATCAGTCCAATCAGTAAGCCAGGCTGGTTCATATTGTTCTGACATAACCTCTTCACTTGAACTCATATCAATCACAGGAGCTGAATCCAAGCCCGGAGCCACAACAGGTAAAGGTGTTTAAAGAGGAAAATAATGTAAAAAAGCAATTATAAAGTTTAGCCAGTGGTGTGAGATAATCGATAATATACAGAACTGAAGCAATTCTGTATATAAATGTATGTTTGTTTATGAAGACATTTCTTTGTACTTTGTACAATAAAAAAAAATCATTTGAGTCGGTCAGGCTTGTTTGTGGTGCTTAATTTTTGTTGCTTTGACAACACAGGTTTCTAGTATCTGAATTACATCCATATCTCAGTTCAATCAAAGCAAATTCCACAGTGGGGTCTGGGGTCAGTGCAAAATTGATTATTCATTGTTTATACCTACCTGCAAAGTTTGAACTTTGGGGAACCACCATAATTTCATTTCCTGGTCAGAAGAAAGAGGAAGGTGCTACCTAATCATTTCTAAAATGGAAATTTCCTTTGGGGTCAAAGAACATACCCTGAAAGAAGCTTACAATTTCATGTGTATATTATATTTTTTTTATGTGTTTGGATTGCACTGGTAATACAAATGAATAACATAGAATGACAGAGTTGGAAGGAACCTTGGAGGACATCTAGTCCAATCCCCTGCTCGTAAGCTCAATGAGATGGTGGCATATATAAGAATAAGCTATTAGTTTCTATTCCAACATCGTTTATCAGAAGTGTAGCTGGAATGGTTCTGCTAAAACAAAAACATTGCACTGGGTTTTTCTAAGTTTGAACAGTTCTGCAAAGTTCATTCCTCAAAATATGGGCCAACTTTGCACAACACTTTTATGCTTGTATTTTCCTGCTGTCATCTAATGATGACCATCCTACTGTTTGCAATCCACATCTTGTAGAAAGATATGCTTAATTAGCTCCAGATTGCATTATTAGCTAATAAAATTTTATTTCAGACATAGAGCTTGAAATCTATAGGTGTATAAATGACAACATACTGGAAGGCAGTAAGTTGGATGCTAAAAATGATGCTAACTCTTAGGTACCATTTTTATCTGTTCTGATCCAGGTGAAATTGTGGCTATAATGGACACATCATGGTAGCTTTTCTAAACCTGTATCTGCACTTATGCATGTAGTTTTGACATTAGTATAGATTCCTGGTAACTGTCTGGATACGTTCTTTCTGTTTTCTTGGCAAGAAGTGGCTTGTCTAGGGCTTACAGAAATTAGCTGGTAAGGTCACCTTGCTGGCTTTGCATTTTGGTGAGACTAGAACACTCCTAGTTTTTAGCCTGGTGCCTTACTTATTAGACCATACTGGCTCACTTTCCTAACATATGTATATTTTTTTCAAATTTTCTTCCTTGATTCTATAGTAAGGTTCCATAATTATATTACTAAAACTTTTTAATACAGCTGTTGAACAGTATGAACTGACAGGGTTGAGAATGAAATCAATGTGCAATTGTTTAAAAATCATCAAATGCAAATGCTAAAATGACACCTTTTTTTCTCCATCTTACCTTAAAAAGATTTAATCCCAAACAATGTTTAGATTGCCTAATAAATATTCCAGCCAGAAGCACTGCTTGAGGGAAGCTTTGAGAAAACAATTATTAGGATGACCAAATATGCTTCTTTCTCTTCCCTTCTCATCTCACAACATACCATTCTTCTGAAATAGCTGATCTTCACAGCTATCCTGTGGTTTGGCTGGCTACCTGTCATCAAGGACATTGCTAAAAATCTACTATTTTATTTTCCAAACTTTCTCTCTCAGCACAGAAATTAGTTATCTCAGTGTGCCTCTAATTCCTAGTTTACACTGAAAAAATTATGCCAAAACTTTGGATTTACTGCCAAAACAATTGCAATAAAGTGTAGTAAAGATGATCCATGATCTTATTGGCAGTGTTTTTCATCCAAAACTGCCAATTACAAGTCATTCAGTTTTTTAAACAAATCCCCTTCCTTCAGTTTTGCCACATGACATTCTCAGCCACAAGCCTGACTTTGGAATTAGAGTTTGTCAGGACCACAAATTGATTCCAGCTTTGCTTGTTGCCAATCCATCAGAGTAAAATTCATCTTTTAAATAGCCTAAAAATGGGCCTGACTTTCTTCTTGGGACAAAGGTCTATTATATAATGAATTCATTGAATCACTGGGTATGAATTCAGGAAGAACCAAGAAATCTATGATTAAAGGGACATGTTGCAATGAGTAATAACATAAAAATTCTCTCTTAATAAGGAGGCCTATTGGGTGAACAAGAAGATATTTAACCTGGAAATAAGGAGAAACTTTCTAACAGTGAGAACAATCAACCAATGGAACAGCTTGCCCTCAGAAGTTGTGGGAGTTTCATCACTGGAGGCTTTCAAGAAGAGATTGGACTCCCATCTGTCAGAAATGGTGAAGGGTCTCCCGCTTGGGCAAGGAGTTGGACTAGATGACCTACAAGGTCCCTTCCAACTCTGATTATCTGTTAAATCTTTTGAAAATTAGTTGCTCCAGAAGGATGGATGTACATTGGTTGATGTGAATATTATTTGTCGTAATTTTATGAAAGAACCACTCTGAAGAGAGGAACATTGGATTGCATTGAAAATGGCAGGTATCTTTGCCAACATCTGTACTGTTTTCTTTCAAACTAAATTGTCACCCTATGTGTTCCCTGATTACCTGTGTGCACACATGGACCTCAGTCTAAAAGCCAATTGGACTTACATGACATAAACCCAGGAGTTGCTTACTGGAATAGGGATGGGAGCAAAGGGACGTCCCTGTATAGCACAGACCCAATCTGCATATACTGTAGGACAACCAGCATCAGAAGAAAGAAGTTCCTAAGTTTGTTCTTTCCTTCTTGCAGCCATCATCACCCTCACCCAGGCGACAGGGGTCAAGACTTCAACCAGGTTACATAAACATGAGGCAGGACTTCAACCAGGTGGCCATGCCCATCCTTTTGACATTTCAGCCACGCACTTTCTGCAGATTTCTATTTATTTATTAAATTTTTATGACACCTATCTCACAACAACTTAGCAAC